CACACACACACTCACACACACACACACACACACACACACACCTACACACACACAGACACACACTTACACACACCTACACACACACAGACACACACACACACACACACACACCCTGGTTTCTTTTTCTGAACGGATCAGAAGGAGCACTGATCAGCTTTAGAGCTCAACTTAAATTAAATTTTGGATGAAAACAAACCAGTCATGTGACCACTAAACTCTTAACATTTCATTGTGATGCTTATATTGTTTATTATATGTTCTTTCTTATGTATTTGCCTGCCTAGGGACTACGGATGAAAACTAGCTTTGTAGCTATAATCCGGCATATTTACATTTGTTTTTATACTGATGTTCATTAATGTGCTTTGTCCCTATTCAAATTAATAAATAGATTAAATTGAATTGACGTTAGCGTTACAGGTCAGCTCACTGTTTCCACAGTGAGTGTGTTTTTGGTGTTTTTACCTAAATAACCCAGCTCTGACCTGTTTTGTTTTTCCTCCTTTAGTCCGCGGGGGAATGCCTCCAGAGTCAGACAGAAGAACCAGAAACCCCAGAAACCCCAGAAACTAAGGAGCGACCAGAGCCTCAGCAGGTAAAATCCACTTAAGCTAGCATGTTAGAGTGTTAGTCTGTACCAGTATAAAGTGTAAATACATAACTGTCTTTTACATAAATGATCAAAGTGTCAGGCGTGGATCATAGGGAGGACTCAGTTGCAGAGGTCAGGGTGAAAACAGGATTTATTCAACAAAAAAACGCACTCAAAATGAGTGGATGACCAGGCAAGGTTCAAAACAAGGGAGACAAAACTATGAGCAAAGTAGCAAAGCAAGATTAACATGGCTGTGAACAAAGTATCAAATAAGTAAACATGAATATGGCAAAAAATACCAAGTAAAGTAAACAAGACTAAGGCAAAGTATCAAAACAAATGCCATGTAATGCCAAATGTGTCATATTTGATTTATACGGTTTCTGAAATGTTTTGAGTCTGACTCCTTTTGCATAATTTAATGGTAAAAACTTTGCTCAAAATCCTATTGAACACAATCAGATACACCTGATAACAGGGGGCAGAAGACTACACAAAAAATAATCTGGATTTATCGCATAGTAATAAATTATTAATATTAAAAATGTATTTGTGTTTTTTCTTTTATATATTTTGTTAAAAGGCCAAATAAAGAATTCAAACCAAAAGTAAAGTAATTTTTTGTTCTGTTTTATTCTTGGATCAGGCTTTAAAGGGTTAACAAGACTGTGGCAAAAACAAGGCTGTGACAAAGTGCAAAAATCAAAATCTTACGTGGCGAGGAACAAAAAGTATAAAATGCAAAGATAAATGCAAATGATGCATCTAAATTATTTCCCTAACTCACTTTGGTTACAGTTCTTATATCGAAAAGCCAAGCTATTTCATTTAGTCAAACTTTTCCCCAGAATAATCTTATTCCTGGGTCACTGTTTAGACTGAGGTCTGACATTATGTACAGTATATAACAGTGTGTGTTCTTTAAGAGGGCCCTAAGGAATCGTTGTTTGTGGAAAGTTACTTAATTAACTTAAATCATTATGCAGTCTCTGGCAGCTGAATTGAGTGAGTGACATGTTTTAAAGCACCCACTCACAGCTTTAGCTAAAATAAGATGACATCATCCCATTAACTCTGAAAAGAGGAATGAAAGGAGCCGGGAAAGAAACGCATCATCATTCAAAATGTAAAGAAACATGGAATCATCCAATAAAGATGCTCTTTTTTTTAATTACAGCTCAATTCATTTTGAACATCTTAACTTTATAAACAGATGTTTAGGAAGAAAAAAGAACACACACATACACACTTTCTGTCAAGTAACTTTCCAATTAAAACAACAAAAACTCTGCAGAAAGCATATCATTATGACTTTTCAACATAATCAGACTATAAAAATTCTGTTGACAGAAATGACACATTTTTATCTTCTTTAACCCTTTAAAGCCTGATCCAATAAAAATAGGAAGAATATTGGATTTTTTTAGTCTGAATTCTTTCTTTGGCCCCTCAACAACATATGAAAAAAAAAAACAGAAATGATTTTGATCAAATTGGCGTGCAATAAGTCAAAATATATTTGCTATAGCTAATACTAAGCTATAGCTAATGCTATACACTATGCTAAAGTGAGTCATTACAACCAAATTCGAACAAGGATAAAGGCTTTTCTTCCAGTTTTAACAGGGCAAAGACACAATAACTGAGTTCTAAGCATCAAGATGCAGAATATTCTGGGATATCTCAATAGATTAGATAAAGAGATAAGAAATTACATAACAAATGGTGTGTGTTTGTGTGTGTGTTGACCTAAAGGTGGATCTAATGCAACAGAGAGAGAAAAAGAGAGAAAAGAGAGTCTGTGGACACAGACAGAGACTTTAACACAAAATATAGTTATAAAAGAAAATAAAACAACCAGTAATTTATATAGAACAGGTGATAGCATACTATGCTAAAGTGAGTATTTATAACCAAATCCTAAGATCGTTATCACTGTGTCACATAAAAGCTGGAATTCAGGTTGGACATTTACCACTTTGACATATAGACCAGTTAGCAGGTCTAGCATAATTCCACCAGGTTAATTTAGAATAAGGATTAAACATGTATTTTCTTTTGTTCTCTGTCCTATTTGCCTCTGTGGACACAGCCAGAGACTTTAACACAA